TTACTCAGTCTATACAGTGAGGTGAAGTATTTCAACCTATTACCTCCAATTGAACTTTATGCTTCACATGAGTCCTAAAGGAAAAAGAATCTATTACAGAATGATGCCGACTCTTTAGCCCTCACCTTAACCCTCACTTCCGCCATTAATTGGCCTCTAATTTTAAAAGAGAGCATTTTAGGCTTTGAAATAAAAGCAGACTGGCAAGCATTCTTCTATTATGAATCCATCAATGTATACAGAAAGTTATTTTTAAAAAAAGAGTGAGGAAATAAAGTATGCCTTGTGCTGATTCCCTCTAGTAAGTTATTAAAAAACACTTTAAAAATCACATTTTGACTTTACTTACAAATGCTCTGAGCAGCAATGTATTATGAATGTTTAAAGGAAAAAATGCCCAAGCTTTGCAGCCAGGCAGGCCTCCCCTAGCCTCCACCAATTCTGCAGGGCCTATGCAAACACACAGGTTCTCTGCCCTGCAATTAAGTTAACCTCAAGGGTAAATTCTGTACTTCTCATGAACTGCGTGAAGACCAAGTGAGAGACATGTAAAGCACTAGCACCAGCTCTAACAAGAAGCAAACAAACACTCAATCGCTAGCCACTGGTTTTGGTTTTGTCCTATTGAAGATGGTAGTAAAAAAGTGAAGTAAAATTACAATGTAAACTTATTTCCTATTGTTGAAAGTTGATCAATAGCTCTAAATAAAAATCATTCCCTATGATCATACTGCATAGAGTAGATTGTTAAGCAATGATGATGGCAAATAAATTCCCAGTTGAGAAACCCCAAAAAGAAAATATACTTTTTGCCCATTATATTAATGTGGCTTTCCAGAAAGACCTTCAACACATTAAAGTTCCAGATCTAATATTTTCACAGTGGCTCAATAAAGTTAACTTGGTTTACAAAGTTGAATAGTATAAAATTAAGTAGTAACATAAGACATCAGAGATTTTGAAAATTTATTTATTTGTGAAAATTTTCTGTTAATATGGACACTGCGGTATTTTTAAAGACACAGTGTCTAAAATTCCAGCAGTATAACTGTATAAACCAAAAAGAAAGGAAGAATAAAATGGGTGAAAAATTGTACTTCCCTTCCAGTCTTCCTTATGCTTATTTTCATTCTAGAGAAAAATTTATTCTCTAAATTATTCATTTAGATAAAAAATGTTTTAAAAAATATTTAGCTCTAATTTTTTAAATTTAGTACAGTGTGTATAGGAGTGTGTATTGTCTGATAGCAGCTACTTCTAGGACCCTCTGAATTCTGAAATAGGAAAGTATAGTTGTCACTCAATTACCCTCTTTTTCTGAACCCTTGTTCATTCATACATTTACTTTCTCCCTCTGCCCACCACTTAATGACAGAAATGCCAAGTTACCCACAGAACACCAAAACCCTGTAATCCTACCAGTTTTCAGGATGACTGGAATTATACCTTGATTCAAATCCCAATTCCCACTACTTACAATAAGGACTTGGTCTCCCTCCAAATGCAAATGTTCTTATTTGTAAAACAAAACACAAGCTATAGAACATAGGAGACAGTATGACATAGCATTTAAGAACAGGGGATGTGGAGGAAGACTGCATGAGTTTAAATTCTAGTTCTGGCATTTTATACCTATGTCACACTGAGCTAGCTATGTTCAGTTTCTGTGCCTCAGTTTCTTCATTTGCCACAAAGAGATGGTAACAGTGAAGAGATGGATAATTATTATGAAGATTGGCTGAGATATGGGAAAATGTCTGGCTCATAAAAATCCTATAGAGTAAAAGCTTAAATGCTAAGTGTCCGGGTGACCGGTTCCTGAGATAATATATGTAAGTAAGACATATGGGAAAATGTCTGGCTCATAAAAATCCTATATAGTAAAAGCTTAAATGCTAAGTGTCCGGGTGACCGGTTGGCCCTTCAACCAATCAAAGTGTAATATGCTAATGATATGCTAAGGCTGCTCAACCGCTCATGATAATGCTATGATGTGTACTGACTACCAGGGGGCAGACGCTCCAACTGATAGAGATAGGCGGACACAACCTGGAGCCCTCCCGCAGTCCCTCCCCAGCTGGCAAACCTCCTGCGTCCCTCCCCAGCACCGATGGGTGGGTCCCTCAGCCTAGCGATAATGCTATCATGTGTACTGACCACCAGGGGGCAGACGCTCCAACTGATAGAGATAGGCGGACACAACCTGGAGCCCTCCCGCAGTCCCTCCCCAGCTGGCAAACCTCCTGCGTCCCTCCCCAGCACCGATGGGTGGGTCCCTCAGCCTAGCTTGCGCCCTCTCACAATCTGGGACCCCTCGGGGGATGTCGGAGAGCTACTTTCGGCCGATCCCGCAGGCCAGGTCAAGGGACCCAACTGGTGCATGAATTTGTGCACCAGGCCTCTAATATATATATAATGGATATTATTTCATATATGCATTTCATAATTTTATACATAATTGTGTCAGGGATCTCCAAGATAAGCCTTGAGTTTGATCAGTTTTTGGAAGGATTCACAGAATTCAGAAACGTTGTTCTATCCACTGTTACAGTTTACACCAAAAGGATACAGATTAAAATCACACTGTCCTCTCCCTATGGAGTTTGATATTTATAGGAATGATGTGTGACAACACATGAAGCACATTGCCAACCAGGGCTGCTCACCCTAGCTTTGTGTCCAGTGTTTATTGGGGAGGACAGTCCCGTAGGCATGCACCTCCTGCATAAGTGACCTTAGCTACTCAGGCTCCAGTGCCCCATAGAAGACCATCTGATACATTGTGGCCCAGTGCCTCAGGTGAACAAAAATAGGTATTCACGCCCTCGCTGGTTTGGCTCAGTGGAAAGGGCTTTGGTTTGTAGTTGAAGGGTCCCAGGTTCAATTCTGGTCAACGGCATGTACCTTGGTTTCAGACTCGATCCCCAGCCCTGAATGGGGTAAGTGTGAAGGCAACCAATCGATGTTTCTCTCTCACATTGATGTTTCACTCTATCTCTCTCCCTTTCACTCTCTCTGAAAATTAATGGAAAAATATCCTCAGGTGAGGATTAAAAACAAACAAAAAAACGAAAAACAAACAAACAAAAACATATGGTATTCACCATAAATCACATTTTTAGCATCAACTATCTAGCTTGGTCCTAGGTACAAAGACCCCTTGCCAGGTAGGATATCCCAAGGGCTTCAAGGTGACCTCCCAGGAGTCAGGCAAGGACTAGAGCAGTGGTTCTCAACCTTCCTAATGCTGCGACCCTTTAATACAGTTCCTCATGTTGTGGTGACCCCCAACCATATTATTATTTTCATTGCTACTTCATAACTGTAATTTTGCTACTGTTATGAATTATAAATATCTGATATGCAGGATGTATTTAGGCTACCCTTGTGAAAGGGTCGTTTGACCCCCAAAGGGGTCGCGACCCACAGGTTGAGAACCGCTGGACTAGAGCTTTCTTTGGAATGCTCAGGGTTTGAGTACCTCAAGCTTGCTGAGTTAATCCTTTACTCAATAACAATTTATTGATCAACTACCATGTGCCAAAAGCTATGATAAACATTTAACATATATTATCCTGTTTAATATTTAAACACCCTTTTGAGAAAGAAATTGACATTCCCTTTTATAAATATGAAAACTGAGTCTCAGGAAAGTTAGTGTTCATAGTCACGTAACTAGTCTGCAACCCAAACCTAGCTCTTTCAGACTGCAAAGCCTTTGCTAATTCCACTAAGCCAATTTGCCTCATAAAACATTGTAAAAATTAGTATAATACAGCACACATATAGGCACATAATATGTTTAATAATCAAATTCCCTTCTGGTATGAAAAAATAATTTAATCACTTTGAATTTGTGGAGGAAGTAAATAAGAGCTAGAAGCAAAATGTGTATTTAACGCAGACAGACTAGTTTTCCTTTAAAATATTTTTATTAAAAGGCTATCTAATCATAACCCAGTGATTATAACCAAATCCAATAAATTCAGTAATAAAGTTTTCCTGAGATTTAAAAAAAAGACCTAATTCTTTAAATCCAGTTTTTTTTATTTATACTTCAAGAACTTTTTAATCCCCACCAACATTTGCTGAAATACAGAAATGACTTACCTATCTATTAAGAATAACATATTTTTTCTTTGCAGAAATGTATCCCCAGTTCCCTAGGGAGGCAACAATGCCTTCTCATTTTAATATGTGTGGTTCTTTTCCCCCATCTAATCAGCTAATACTTTTCAAAAGATCTTTTTAATGCCTAAATGAAAGGATTGCACATCAAAGACCTGACCTCCCTATTAAAGTATCTAAAGAAAACCCTAGAATATAAAATCCATTCAAAAGCAAACTGCAGGTAGCTTATTGTACAATGCATTAAGAAAAGAAAAGGAGGAAAAAGCTTCATAAGAGCTGCAAGGAATTGGGTAAAATTATACCACAAAAATACAAATTGATCATAAGTATAAAGAAACAAATTCATAGCCAAAAACTTACTACAAAAGTGCCCTGTAATCAGCCAGGAGGGGAGTCTCTATGAAAAACTTCAGAATTTGTCACAGTTTTAATCAAAATTTCTGATTACAGTTTAATGTTGGGAAGGCCAAAAAGGGAACAAACCACACATTTTTTCAATAGATTTAAAATATGAAATTTTAAAGCTAACTTTCAACATCAGAAAAGGTAGATTTTACTAGACAACAGGAGTGGAATGAAGTAAACGTATTAATAGATGAGGTAGTATAGATACAAATACTTTTTAGAAAACAAATTAAAATTTTTATCATACCATGAATGTGGCTCTGAAGTTATTTAAGTCAGTCAAAAAGTCTTCCACAGACACCTTCTTCACATCAACAGCATAGTATTCCATTATGCTCTGGTATAGCTTTTCCATGTTTTCATGTAACGTTGAAAGATTCTCATACTGTTCCTTTGTACTGATAACAAAGCTGTATATTATAGTTAAAGAATTCTGAAATTTCAAAGTAATGTTTTATAAAAACACACAACTCTAAGTCCAATGTTTTGATGTAATTGTTAGCTACTATTACACATCTCCAAAATGCCAAATCACCTCTAAAAGTTAACCATTCTTACAATTCAATCTATACTGTACAGTGATGAAATCTTAAGTTCAATTTCTAATTAAATCAAGCAAAATTATCAGAATAGTTAAATACTTATACATTTAATATTTCTTTCACAATTGAATTCAAGGAAATTTTTCTTCCAATTTGCCATCTAAATAATACAGATCATGCGATATGATTTAAAATTCTAGTTCAGCAGTTGTAACAGTACATTTAATGGTAGTGAAATCAATAACATAGGCATTAAGCACAGCCGTTCAACTGGACAAACTGGGGTCAATTTCTAACTCCTAAACTTGGTACTTCCATGCCTGTGGACAAATGCCTCATCTTTCTGTGCCAAAATGTCCTCACCTGTAAAATGAGAATAATAGTAATATCAACTATCTTAATGTGGCTGTTGTGAGGAATGAGTTAAACATACAAAGTTCTTAGAAAAATGAATGGCATCTAGAATATATACAAATACTTGGTATTTTATTGCCTGGTTATTCATTTTAAGCTTTACATAGGGTTGCAAAGACAATCAAAAATAAATTTTTAAGAATTACATTTAAAATTTGTTATTTTATGAAATTAAACTCATGTTTTAATTTATCCTTGGGAAAATTGATAGTTTCTCCTATGTATTACCTGGTTCAAACTATGATTATACATACACACAGAGATGTTATTCTCTCACTTATTTATGACAACTCAGTTCAAAGCACAATGAGACAGAGAAGACTAAATGTGAGTGTAGCAGTGGCATCAGAATACATTTTCTAAACAAAGCATAGAATTCCTTTGTGGCATGAAACATTGCTGAGGCAGTAAAATCACTGTCTAAAAAAGTGACTCTCTTAGCGCAACAATCATAATTACATATGGTTCCTTTAAACTGTGGCATTCAAATAAATGGAACATACAGAATCAAACTTACTGAAGTCATCTTACTGTCTCTAACACAAAAGGATAAACATACATCAGCGCACTTAATTTTAAAATAAAGCCAGTTAATAAGTATAACTAGATTGAAACAAAGAATTTCTAGGGTGCGGTCACCTCTGTCAGTTCCTTCTATATTGCAAAACAAAAATGGAAGGTTTATATCTAAAAATGAAAAACTTTCCACAACTTCAAAAATGGTATGTTTCCTGTGGTCAGAGCATTCCCCCGGTAGAGGATAAATTAATAAAGCAACAGATCCAGGCCCTTCCCTTTGAGATAGATGAATGAATGAATGAATGAATGAATGAATGGTTTCCCTTTGAGATAGATGAATGAATGAATGCATGAATATGACCAAGGAGAAAGAGGTAGCACTACAGCCAGATAGTTGGTGAATCCAGGGGGCACCGAAGAATTTGAGTAATTAGAACTCAACCTCCCCACAAGGTACTATGGCAACTCAGTACCCATGTCCGCATGTTGCCTATTGCTCTTCTATGTCTGTTGTTTTTTGGTGTTTTTTTTTTCCATACTATGCTCCATGTATTTTACAACTAGAGGCCTGATGCACGAATTCGTGCACAGGTGGGGTCTGGCTGGCCCGCCCCGATCAGGGCCGATCCGGCCAGGCTGGCGGGGGGAGCAGACGTGGGAGGTTGGCCAGATGGCCAGCCAGCCCTGTCCCCGATCAAGGTGGAGGGGGCAGATCAGAGGAGGGGCTACGGGCGTTTGGCGGTCTGGCATCGCCCCCTCGTCGAAGGGACAATTTGCATATTAGCCTTTTATTATATTGGATATATGGGGTCTGAATTCTAATGCAAGAGCTGATTTATTTTAATGGCCTTAATAAAATCTATAGATCTTTTTGTGGCTCAGTTTATATTCAACTGAATAGCAAAAAGGCCTCCTTTATACTTTCTAGAATGTAGATCATAACACTACCAGTGAATGATGCATTTATATGTGGTATCTTTTATTAATTCTTAGATGAGCAATAAAAATTTCTTATAATTAGTAAAATCACAAGGAATTATAACAATATAGTCACACAGAACAGGTTTCCATATATTTTGTCTTGTGAAATATCCATATTCCATAAAATGTTGTAGGTAAAATGAACAGATGTAAATAAAAACTATATTTAACATACATACAGAAACTATTAGATGGACCATAAGGTGATTTATTTGTAAAGTGAAATAATTTCTTTAAACTAACAAGTTCAGAAATCAACACTGGTTTATTAAATCTATAAACTCTCACCTAAAATTATTTATGTTCTAGATAGAGACTGTATCCACATGGATTATTTATATAGTATTCTTAATTCCTATCTACTTTTTCAGGTCCAAACCTACCATTCAAGGCTTCACTAAGCTTCCATGAAGCTTTCTTCTCTATATCTATGAGCGATAATTTTCCCACTGAATACATAAGGTATTTGTAGTCCATTGTACTCATCTGTAATGAAGTTGTGAATTTTCCTTTCTAATCCAATTCCCTAGTAGTGCTTGGTTCTTACCCCATTTCTGGGGTGTGGTCACCTCTGTCAGCTCCTTCTCTAATGCTGTGCCCCACCTTCTTAGTTGTATTAAGCCTAACCATCTACAACATCATTGGTGCCAGTTACTTATTTCATCCTAGTGTCATCCTTTTTTAACTTTAATGGGAAGGGTAACAGGCCTTCTCACAATTCTGATGAAAGACTGCACATATATGCATTCTTACACACACAATCTCAATGTAATTAAGAGCTAAGAGAGTCCTTGAACAGCTGTTGACCTAGACAACAGGTTATCCTGTTACCATGGGTGTTTCTAACTGTAGAGTTACTACTTTTCTGCCCCTATCATTGCTTATAAGGCTTTGAGCTTTAAAACAGGCACTTCACAAATCCTAGTAATTTTATTCTAAAACCTGGGAATATGTCTAGTCTCAAGAATCAATTTGGTAAACAGATTAAATTACAGCTATAAGTATTATCCAATAACATTTTTTAAAATTTTCAGATACAAATCAAAAGTTAATAAAATATTTGGAATATGCCTGGACATACTTAATCAAAACAGTATAATTCTATTTAAAAATGTGATGGAAAAGAAGACCAAGAGTCAAAATCATTAAAATTACATGATCTTGTTCTAAAACTTGGGAGCTTTATAAGTTAACTAGAGGCTTGGTGCACGAATTCATGTACCAGTGGGGTCCCTCAGCCTAGCCTGCGGGATCAGGCCAAAACTGGCTGTCCAACATCCCCCAAAAGGTTCTGGATTGCGAGAGGGTGCATGCCAGGCCGGGGACCATACCGGTGCATGATCGGGGCCGGGGAGGGATGCAGGAGGTTTGCCAGATGGGGAGGGACCGCGGGAGGGGTCCAGGGCATGTCTGGCCCATCTCGCTCAGTCCTGATCAGCCGGACCCCAGCAGCAAGCTAACTTGCCGGTTGGAGCGTCTGCCCCGATGGTCAGGGCATGTCATAGCGAGCGGTTGAGCAGTCTTAGCATATCATTAGCATACTACGCTTTGATTGGCTGAACAGACAACCAGACACTTAGCATATTGGGCTTTTATTATATAGGATTATCTTATCATTGTTATCGATAAAACAATTTGCTCCCAAAGGAAGTAGAGCTTTGAATAATTGGAATTACCAATGAGAATGATAAAATTGTGATTAAACTGAAACAATTTTGGAAAGAGCCAAATTCTTAGAAGTTTAAAATGACTGTCTGATAGGATGGAATAAATGGTTACATTAATGGGGTCTCTACGTCATCATTGATGGGCTACTCATTAAGAGATGGTGGAATATTCAGACAGGAAAAAAAAAACAAAAACACATCATTATCATCAGCCAAAAGAGAAAACAAATGTAGATGTTCTTGTGCCAACTGTGAAACTGCAGAGAAAATTAATGCCCATCTTAGTAGTAGTAAGGCTTTATTTTTCCCCCAGCTCCTTATATAGAGCTTTAGAGAAATAGGTGAGCTTCTTGACACAATAAATATTTGATAAAATTCATTAAAAAATATTGATATTTACTCAGTCACTTGTTATTTTTGTAAAATCTGTTTTCTATTCCTTTACTAGGACAAAGGCCAAATTCTCATTAATTTCTATATGAAAGACTGTAATCATCCCATTTGAAAGGTTCATTGACAAGCAAATCTATGTTCACATGTGCTGAATTGCAAATACATAGTGTTGGCCAACTAAGTAGTAAGACAAAGATTTAGGATTCAACTCCTGGTCAACAAAAACAGCTCATTACCAAACTACCTGGCACTAATATATTCTACGGGTGTATTTTTATTTATTTAAAATTTATCTGTATTGTTGAAAGTATTACAGAAGTCCTCTTTTTTCCCCCATTGACTTTTTCACCCTGCTCCCAAATCCCAGGCCTTCACTGCACTACTGCCTATGTCCAGAGGTTATGTATATGCTTTGCCCTCATTATTGTACTTTCCCACAAAAGTTGTCTATTACTTCCACTAACACATTTGATAAGGATCAGCTTCAATCAGTCATATATGTCCGATACCTTTTATACATCTTAAGTACCCAGGCAGCCAACCAGCCAATCTATAAGTATTCACTGAAGTCCACTGTATTCCCCTCTTTTGGGCACTAGGGAAAACAGTAGTTAACAAGATAAGCAAAGTCCCTCCTTTTGTGAAATCTAGTGATAGATAATAAAAAAACTAAATAAATGAGATATTCAGACAGTGATAAGTATGATGAAGAAAAAGTTTTGTGATGTTATACAGAGTGACACAGGCTAATTTACGTTGAGCAGCCAAGGAAGTTCAGGCTAAGAAGGTGACATTGACTGAAGTAACTGAGGCATGACTGTAAAGCAGCAGTGAGTGCTAAGTTGTGTAATAACCTTTGTGAGTTTAATAAGACTGCAGAGAAGAAAAAGATGCATATAAATTTGAAGATTCACAGAGGATGAGGAGCAGGATATTTTAACCCAAGTCTTACAAGTTTATTAAGAATGGATTAAATAAAAGATATGACAAATGAGAAAGAAGGAAGGAGAGAGCAGACTAATTTAAGTAAAGAAAAATCTGCTCTTACAAATCACACAATTACCCAACTTTTCACTCCTGCAAATGAACTGTGTATTATACAAATTTACTTTTCATCCATTCCACTCTTCTGTTTTACTTCCTAACTATAGTTCAATTAAATTAAAATGTACAGAATTTTTTTACCTGAAAAATGCTGTACTTTATGTAATGTTGGATATAGATAAGATATCTTTCTCTCAAGGAATTTATTGAGATAGTTTTAGCATCGTCATAGAAGTATCAGAAGGGATTAAAATATCACTCTATAGCAGAACAATAAAAAGAAAGTTCAAAATAAAAGCAGGATTGCAATAAATTTAAAGAATAGAACATAGGAAAGAGTCAAGTAACTTGTTATACAAAATTTAATATTATCTCAAATGTAACTAATAGCCCTGCGCACGAATCCGTGCGCTAGTAGCTCTCTGCAGGGCCTGGCCGCTCTGTGCCCGCTGCCCAGAGGCTCTCCGCGGCCCAGAGGCCCATCCGAGGCCAGGCGCGGAACACTTGCCTTGTCGCTGGGGTGACAACGCAAGCATTTCCCCTCACCCCCGGCCGCTCTGTGCACGCTGCCCAGAGGCCCTCCACAGCTGGGGTGGAATGCTTGCCTCGTCGCTGTGGCATTCCACCAGGCCACTCATGCTGCCTGCTCTCAGCAGCCGCCCCCCCGGGACTGGGGGACTCCGGTGAGGCTGAGAGGACTGGGTACCGCCATCTTTGTGATGAAGTGACAGTTGATTTGCATATTACCCTTTTATTAGGTAGGATAGTTTGTATATAACAATATTAATGACCCCCACCTTGAACATGTGTAACATATTTTTCAAGCAAATATTTACACTAGTACTATTCAACTCTAATTATATTTCTGAGCAGGCTTAGCAATTGGAAAGTAACATCATTATTATTAAAAGTCAATGTGGCCTGGACAGTGTTGATCAGTGGTTGAGCATCGACCCAGGAACCAGGAATTCACTGGTTCGATTCCCAGGCAGGGCACATAACAGCACTCAACCCCCAATAGGGGGCATGCAGGAGGCAGCAGATAGATGCTGTTTCTCTCTCATTGATGCTTCTATCTCTCTATGCCTTTCCCTTCCTCTCTCTCTAAAAAATCAATAAAAAAACATTAAATTTTTCTTTTAAAAAAAAGTCAACGTGCTATCACTAAAATAATTGTGCAAGCCTTTAAAGAATGTACTAAATTAACATTTTTTATATTAAGTAGTATATGTAAAGAAAGAGCATGTACTGGAAAAATAAAACTACAATCTTATATAATAAAAAGCTAATATGCAAATCGACCAAACAGCAAACAGACCGGTAGCTATGACATGCACTGACCACCAAGGGGCAGACATTCAACGCAGGAGCTGCCCCCTGGTGTTCAGTGTGCTCCCACAGGGGGAGCGCTGCTCAGCCAGAAGCCCTGAGCTGGGCTCATGGCTGACGAGCGCAGCGGCGGAAGCCTCTCCTGCCTCCGTGGCAGCACTAAGGATGTCCGACTGTTGGCTTAGGCCTGCTCCCCCCTAAGCCATCAGTCGGACATCCCCTGAGGGCTCCCGGACTGCAAGAGGATGCAGGCCGGGCTGAGGGACTTCCCCCCACCCACGAGTGCACGAATTTCATGCACCAGGCCTCTAGTATACTATAATTGAACACTATTAGTAAAATTTCCTATTATGACAAAATTATATCATAATTTAAGACTATTTGATTAACAGATTATTTAGTAGTTCACTAAATTATGATTTTTTTACATAAAATATCCAGTTGTAATAATGCATTCTTAACAATTTGGATAATACACATGTTCTTCCAGAACTGGTTGAGGAATCACACATTTGATATGTGCTTCAACTAATAAGCAGTAAAATTTAAAACAAAGTTTGAGCATTAATAACCCAAATTTTAAATATATTTTTATTCATTGTGCATTTTAATTTCCATATTCTTCCATTTTCTAAGATCTAAGCAGCTCACAATTTGCCATTTTAGTAAGATCTGTATAAATGCATTTAATATTCAAGATCTGATTTGTTGTCAGTCCTAATTAAAGTAAACAAAGCTTCACAATGAATGAATTTAATTACCTCGAAACTAGCATGTCTAAGAGGAAAAGCAAACGAGTACAATCTAATCTCAGCAAAGAGTATTTATGATCATAAGCTTTGTCAATAGCAAAGTGCACCAACTGTTCATATATCTGACTTCCAAAGAGATACATGAATGCTAATCAGTTCATTAGAGGCTTTTAGGTTGTGATATTTAGCAACAGGATATAGTAGCTTTCATGTCTATGGAGTATAATTGTACTCAGAATAAAAAATTGTTTCCAACAAAGCATCATCCTTCCTGTTTCTGATTTCCTGCTAGTTACTTTTTATGAGTTGCATACCTTTCAAGAAGGCGACATCATTCAACTTCTTGTACCATACGAATACAAGTATTAATAGGTCCAGAGATCATCTGCTGAGCATGACTCTGCTACACTGACTCTAAGCTCAGGAATTCATCTTCAGTTATATGTCCTAGAAATCCAACCTTCATAATTAGTACACTCACAATGGATTACCAAAGACTCTATACAAGCAAAAAGTTTTCTAAAATGCTTTCTATCTATAAAGAACAATAATAAGCACTTCCATTAATAGTACTTAATGATTACAATAAACTGGCATATATGAATATTTTAATATGATAAAAATGATTGAGAAAAAAAGCTAAGAATGGTAAAACTAATATAAGTGTGCTATAAAAAAATTTACAAATTTAGTTTTGAAAACCATATGTTGCCAAATGAGAAGGTACTGCAAAATATACTTTTGATAAATATATATTTCATTTTTAGTTTTAAAAAGACAACCATATCTAGTGGAGTGATAATGGTGCCCTGCCTTATAAAAAAAAGAAACTGGATAGGTAGGAAAGGTTGGAAAGGAAATAAATACATTAGTCAGAACTGATTGTTGCTGAGTGCATTTTTATGATATTTCCCCAGTAAAGATAGCTAAAATTGAAGTAATTCACAATTAAGCTGAAAGTATATACAAGAAAATCTATGACAAGCCAAATAATAATTTTGTGATATGCCAAATCTCAGGAGAGATAGAAAGAGGAAAAGTAGTTATTTTAGTTCAAGTAACTCAGTTTAAAATAAATATCAGGAGTGTCTATTTATAAGAGCTCATTTTAAAAGTGGGTTATCCTTTCATGTAGAATTCTGAAGTCCATATGGAATTTTAATAATGCATAGTAGTAATACTTTATTATAACATAGAAGATATCAGTCTCTAATTTCACAGAATGGTTTGCAAAGCAACTCAACATTAGTTTCAGGAAATAAAGTTTATTACTTCAATTACTCATTAGAGATTAAGCCACAGAGTTAGCAAAACCAAAGATAATTGAATTCAAAAGAAACCTTAACTTAAGCAGGACACAAGCCTCATGCTATTAATTTTCTATAAGTATGTACACACACACACACACACACACACACACACATATATATATATATACGTCAATTTTATTTTAGGTTTGGAGAATACCTGCACAAATAGTGATTGTGACAAACTCAATTTTGATTATAAAACTATGTAGTATTTCTAAAGAAAATAGTAAAGTTTCTGGAACACAAGTTAATTTTTAGTATAGGCCAAACCTTGAAATTAAGCTGACTACTCACACCAGTTTATAGTCTTTATCCTGAAATGTTTCAAAATATCTAAATCACATCATGTTAGATTCAAATTTCCTCAATTTGAGTTTTCATATCCTGTTAATCTACCATGAACTTCAAAAGGAAAAAGGACATGTGGAAGGGAAAAGATGAGAAAAAATATTATTAAAGTTGATAAAAAGGGAAAAAATGGAAATCAATAGAATACATTTCGGTATTGTTCATGATAAACACTGATAAATTTCCCTGCAAGTAGGTAAAGATTAAGCCTATAATGTGGTACTACAGAATGATCTCTGGTTATGCAAATGTACTTCAAATGTTAAATAATTTGTAATTCTAGTTGACTAGTAATTTATTTAGATATCAAAAGGATATGGACATCTTTGTCACAAACTTATCACGCACGTCCTCAGGAGGGGGAAAGGTTTCCAAATCTCTCTCAAGCTGTTGAAGCTGCCTTCCCATCTGCTTCAGATTCTTTTCCAGCATTTCTACAGAGACTGAAAAAGAGTATATTAAACGCCTTGAAAGGACAAAATTATAATATATAAAAGGTAAAACACTCTAGAAACAAAATATTTGTGAAAAACCTTACAATAAGAAAGTAAAAAATTTATTATAATAAAGGGAAGGTAAATTTCAGTAAACTTGTTAAAACTTTCAATTTTTAAGTCCTGGAATAAATTAAGTTTCTAAGACATTAGATGAAATTTACAGCAAACCTCATGAACAAACCATATTTAGGAAATGCTGTGTTTAAAATTAGATTTCTTGAGATTAAAAATGGCGGCAGAGAAGGTAGATGCTGCAGGAGACATGCTCCCAGGAACAAGCTGGAATTACAACTGAAATATAGAAAGGCTTCAGGAATAATCAACGGAAAACTCACAGGAGAGAACCCTGGTACCAGAAGACTGAAGGTGGAGACCACAGAGAAACTGGTAGGAGGGGCAGAGGCGCTAAAGGACAGGCCAGGCACCCACAGACAGCAAATGAAATCCCAGAGAGATATCTCAGCTGTGGGGGGAGGGTGCTACTCAGAACTCTGGGATCTAATCCCAAAACTGGGCTCCCTAGCAGAGAGCAGAAAATCAGAGGAGGGTAATCATATAACATCTAGCTGTGAAAAGCAGTGGGTGCTGTCTGCAAGGGAGTGGTACATATTTTCTCCTTCCTGTGATCCTTAAAATTGAGAAAATTAAGAAGAGAGTGCAGAAAATTCTTTTATCATAACAATGTTTAGTGTATTAACACAATCGATTAAACACAGGTCCCCGATATAGCTTGCTGTAAGTAAATATGTGATTAGAAGAGTTTATAAGCCATATGACCACGTTATGTTATGAATTAGATTAAAAGAAGTGTATTAGTAGCATAATAATAATAGTTGTAATGGTCATAGCAGTGATAATGATAGTAATAGCTGCTAAAATTTACTGAGGCAGGTATTATCTTAAGTGTTCTGCATTATTTTTTTTTAATCCTCACCAAAACATTATGATATAGATATTATTATTATCCTCACTTTACAGATGACAAAATTAGAGTAAAGTGGGTGAAGTAAAAGTTGAACAACTGAAAAGTGGCAAAACCAGAATTTGAACTCAGGCAGTTTAATGCCAGACTTTATTTTTAACCATTTAGCTGTATAGAAATTATTAATTACAGACATTATTTTATTTTTACAACCCCCATCCACCTATCTGTAACACATTTAAGTACAGGTATAGTTTTCACATAATGACTATTTTTGTACATTCTTGCCTAGTGCAATACTAAGTAATGCACCTATGACTAAATGGAGGAGAAAACACCCAAGCATTCTGGATGACAGATAAATATGCTGCTATATGTTTTTAAATGAACATCCTATATAATAAAAGCCTATTATGCTAAGTGTCCGGTCATCCGTTCAACCAGTCTAAGTGTAATATGCTAATGATATGCTAAGGTCACTCAACTGCTCGCTATGACATGCACTGACCACCAGGGGGCAGACGCTTCAACTGCGAGGGTTAGGTTGCTGCTGGGGTCCAGCCAATCGGGACTGAGTGAGATGGGCCAGACATGCCTTGCAGCCCTCCCACCTCCCTCCCTGGCCCCAAATCATGCACCAGTGGAGTCCCTTGGCTTGGCCTGCGCCCTCTCGCAATCCAGGACCCCTTAGAGGATGTCAGAGAGCCGGTGTCAGCCTAATCCTGCAGGCCAGGCCGAGGGACCCCACTGGTGCACGAACTCGTGCACCAGGCCTCTAGTTTAAATATAATGTGATTACAACCATTGAACAAAACCACATACTTAAAATATGATGGTTTACTCTACTGATCCAATTTAATTATGCACACACATCAAGTCTGGGAAAGATCTAGAGGAAGGCCTCATAAAAGTCTGAGGGATTCCCATATAACAAAAAGTACAAAGCAAACATTGGGAGGGAACATAGTGGGTCTGTTTATTTCTGACACAAAATACACTATTCCAATACTTACCAATTCTCTAACACCAACTGAGTATCTTCCAATTCAACTCAATTCGGACACTACCTGGAGTTAGCACAGACCCCAGAGGTTTAAGAACTCATCCCACAAAACTGCCCTCACTTCACAGGATAGTCCCCAGTCCCAAGGACTACCCACACTTCTGACAGACTGGCTATAAATCCAGAGGTTCCTGTGGTAGGATGACTCAATAGAACTCAGGAAGTAAAGAATACAACTTGGGAAAGGCCAAATTAAAGCCATGCATAGGGCAAGGAAAGGGGAGCAGGGCACAGATGGTACAGAGTTTTCATCCTGCCCCAGGTGCACCGCCCTCCCAGTACATCAATGTGTACACCAAACAGAAGCTCCCTTAGCCTGGTAGTTTCAGAATTCTTATTAAAGCCTCAATATGTAGGCATGGCTGATTAAATCATTGTTCGTTAGTGATTAAGCTCAGTCTCCAACCCCTCTCTCCCCTCCCTGGAGATCAGAGAGTGGACTGATAATTCTAACCTTCTAACCACATGGCTGGTAGCTCTGGCCACCAGAAATGTACAGCCATGGTAGCTCTGGCCACCAGCACCCCTAACCCCCAATCATGAAACATCCTGGTTCCCCTTCCCACCATCTGTAGGGGAATAATCTCATTGTAAAGAAAATACACAATTGCTTAAGAAACTTCAAAGGTTTTAGGAGCTCTATGTCAGAAACCAGGAAAAAGACCATACATACTACATGGATGGAGAAGTGCCTGGTCAGAGGGCAGAACTCCAGTAGCTGTGAGAAGGTGTAAGAGAAGTACATTTCTGATTCATGAGTGGTCATCCTCAGAGCGGTCTAAGGCCTGCGCTGTCCTCAGAGGAGGCCAGCTGCTTGCAACTGAACATGGAGCCATTCCAGTGAGTGAGCGCTTCGCAGTGGGATGAGAGAAGAAAGACTTAAGGTTCACATGAAAGGCTTCTTAGGTGATCTTTTGTGCCTTTTCCAACTCCTTGGTAGCCTGTGGGTCAGCAACTTTGTCCTATCATTGTGATTTGAAGCACCTTCTTGATGACTCAGTTTCCACATCAGTGAAATGGGAAGAATCCCATCTCATGTCTTTACCTCACAGATATTTCATAAAAGATCAAAGGCTATAACATAGGATGAAGAATTTTTTTCACTAGGCAGTGTTACTCTTATTCTTAGAACTCAGTAAGAAATGAAGAGCTTAACAATTGAAGTCATTAATATTAGAATCAAAGTGAAAGTAAATCACCATCATCATGCAGGGGGAACAGTGTTATGGAAGTTAGGCCAAAAAGAAAAGTTGCTAATTTCAAGAGTAAAATATTAGGAATGTCTGTGGCATATTTAAACATTTAAGGTGAACATCATAAAAAGTATGCCGCCTGAAAGAAATGGTTCTGTGGCTACTCTACAGATGGAAACCCCACGAAGCTATGACTCACGCTTCATCAGCAGTCTCCAAGCACATTGCCTGTACATTATAGTTAAGAGGACTTAGCCCAATTGATCAACTTTTCACTGTTGGTTTTTAAATAAAGGCCAAAGGACAACTGGAAGAGAGAAATGCAGGTGCAAATTCTAGGTTAATCTATATATATAAAACCGAACAACGAACAACCAAACAACCGGACAACCAGTCACTACGACGTGTGCTGACCACCAGGGGGCACACGTGGAACATGGCGGGCGGTCAGCCGAGGCAGGATGGTAGAGCAGGTGAGCGAGGGCACCAGACCAAGGCAGGGCGCCGGTTACTGTCATCAGGGAAAGCATCATGTGGTTACTGAAAATTCTTTGCTCCCGTGCGCTGCGGTCCTGCCTGGCACTCACACCTGCTGCTGGTGCCAGTCCCACAAGCACCCACTGCTGGCGCTGGCCCCGATCGTGGGTGCGAGTGGTGGCTGCCAGCCCGATTGCCCCTCAGGGCCAGCAGCTGCCTCTCATACCCGCTGCCAGCAATGGCCCCACTCGCACCTGCAGCCGGCACTGGAGCTGCCACTCACACCCACTGCCAGCCCCACTCACACATGCTGTGGCGCCCGGTGCCAGTCCCAATCGCTTGGCGCTATCAGTGGGTGCGAGCAGTGGCTGCTGGCCCCAATCTCCACCTGAGGGCTTCTTCACCTCCCCCTCCTCCTGAGAGGTGATCGGGGCAGCAGCTGCTCGCAGCCGCTGCTGGCACGGCCCAAATTGCTCTGCATCGTCAGCGTGAGCGAGCAATCAGCGCTGTCAGCGCATGGGAGCGGCAGCGGCGGGAGGGGCTGCTGGCATACAGGGGACCGCGGGCACGGTGCAAGGAGCCAGGAGGGGGCATGGAGTATGGGCCGAGACCCACCCCTGTTCCCACTGCAGTCTCACAGCTCACAGTTCCTTTCAAGGTGCACGAATTTGTGCACTGGGCCCCTAGTAAAATATAATCTACTGTTTTCTCCAAAGATTCATTTTCATTCACTGAACGTGGAAATGTAGGAATCGGCATGGTGGATAACACACCCAAAATTGTTTTGAATGAAACCAGCACAGGTGAAAATTATTATATCTGTAAACAACAGCATAGTTAGGTGTTGCTTAGGGCAGAAGGGGTAGAGAATGAAGGTCTGCTATTACTAAGAATGGTAAGTTTA